ACATACATACATACATACATACGTACATACGTACATACGTACATACGTACATACATACATACATACATACATACATACATACATATATATATATACAGGGTGGGCCATTTTATTCAATACACGCAAAAATCTCAAAAAAAGAGAGATTTTTTCAAAAAATGTTTCAGACAAAAGTTATATGGATCCATGGGGAACATAAGAAGGTATCATTGGTTTGACCTTGCGTGGCATCGTCAAGGTCAGGTCGAGGTCAATTTTGCTTTTTTAAATAGAAACATATTTTTTATTACGGAATTTTATTCTACGTAAAGAAGCAAACAACTTTTGTTTGAAAACATTTTTTATTTGATCTTTATTTTTTAAGATATTTACAGAAATATCTACAAAATTATTGGTTTCAATAATTTTTTACTCGAATTCTATTAATATTACCGAAAAATAGCAAGAGATAAAAATTGTCTATTTTTTTCTCATAGCGCTCTCAGATTTTTTTCGGAATTTTTGATAACTTTTTAGTACTGCATTTCCTTGCATTTTCTTGAAGTACTAAAAAGTTAACCAAAAATTCTGAAAAAAACTTCTACGAGAAGAAGCTCTACGAGAAGAGCTCTACGAGAAGAAAATAAACAATTTTTATCTCTAACTATTTTTTGATAAAGTTAATAGGATTCGAGTAAAAAATTATTGAAACCAATATTTTTGTAGACATTTCCGTAAATATTTTAGAAAATAAAGATCTAATAAAAAATGTTTTTAAACAAAAGTTGTTTGCTTCTTTACGTAGAATAAAATTTCGTAGTAAAAAAATGTATATTTCTATTTAAAAAAGCAAAGTTGACCTCGACCTGACCTTGGGGGGGCCACGCAAGGTCAAACCAATGATACTTTCTTATGTCCCCCATGGATCCATATAACTTTTGTCTGAAACATTTTTTGAAAAAAATTTTTTTTTTTGAGATTTTTGCGTGCACTGAATAAAATAGCCCACTCTGTGTGTGTGTGTGTGTGTGTGTGTGTGTGTGTGTGTGTGCGTGTATGTGTGTGTGCAGGGTGAGGAAAAAGTATGGAAACCCTGAAAAATCTAAAAAAATATAAGTTTTACAGAAAAATGTTTTAAATAAAAGTTGTAGAATTTAAAAAGGTTTATTTAATAGTCTCATCAGTTTGACCCTGGCTGGCGTCGTTAAGGTGAAGTCAAAGTCACCTTGAATTTTTTAAATGGAACATTCTATTTTTTTATTGCATATTCTTATAGTCCTTCTCAGTATCTTTTCAAGGCACTTTAATTTTATTCATTTTGGATCAGCCGTCAGACGGGCATACATGGACAGCAGGTCTTAAAGGATAGCAACCTTTGACTTTGAGAGACTGACAGCTGTACCATTTGGTACAGTAACATTGTTTCTCTCTGTAGTCGCTGTGCGCTCGGGATCGCGCCAGAGATGTCGCTTCCTAACGGCATCTCTGAGCGTTATTTGGGGAGAGGAGAGTGTCGTGAATGTGGAGCGTCAGGTAGCTCAGTGGTTTAGAGCAGTCGCCCGGCAAGCGAAAGACCCGGGTTCGAGTCCCAGCCTAGCAGAACCGCGCTCTCGATATTTTTCTCCCTCTGGAACGAAAAGATACGCAGATCTCGAACGCATGGCGTCCCGCCACCACCTAGTATGCCCTCCTTTCTCTATGTAATAGTTATATGTTTCTCGACGCGGAATATCTTGTTGTATGTTTGATTGTATGTTTGTCTCTCCTCTCAACAAGAACTAAAAACTTATTAAATACAATAAAAAACATGACGTTTTAATATGTACTAAAATATATATTATAAGCAATGCAAAATACGTGTCTATATTCGTGTTTGCGTTAAACAGCCTGTCACTTCCCTAATTACTCTGATTAATAGATAAAAACGAGACATGCAAAACAAATGTATCATATCCGAAAAACATTAATAACATTAATTACATGCCCTAAGAAAAAAAAAAAAAAATACCGCACAAGGATAACTCGTCGCCGGGTTTTGAATGCTCGCTGCTGGCTTAAAAATTTTCGACGTGGAAGCCTCAGTTTGCTCGGCCACGCCACCTCGCTGAAAGACAATCGCATATCCGTGATAAAGTCTCGCAATCCAAACTTTATATTGTAATTTCTCATAAATAAAGACCCATTGGCACAAATCCCAATTAGGGTGTTGATGCTTAACATCGCAGCTAGCGAACGTGCTATGTCTCGTTCAGAAATCGATTTAGAAGGTTGTGGCATCTCCTTGTAAGATTAGGAGCCTCCCATTTTTTAAATAAAATACCATTTTCAATAATTAAACTTTTCCAAAGAGAAACATAGATCTTAACTGAAATTCTTGTCTAAAATTTCCTCCCTCAAAGGACGTCGACCAGACTCAACTCCACGTAAAATCACCGAAACACTAGTGTCTTCCATTTGTTTTTTCCACCAATCTATTTGACTCTTTTCCCAAAATTATTTGAGCTACAACTTTATCACTATTCCCTTTACCAGATTCAATCCTAGAATAGTATTTACAGTACCTTCTTCAATACAAGGATGTCTTGTAAGGCCATCCGCTTTCTTATGAGATAAACTCTTACGATGACAAATCTCAAAATTATAACATTGAAGCTTCTCAATTTAACGAGCTAATTGACCTTCAATTTCCTTAAAAGATAAAAACCATTTAAGAGAAGCATGATCAAAAACCGTTCTTATCAAAAACTTTTGATCATACAATGATTAAAAAATTTAACAGACTCTACCACAGTTAACAATTCCCGACGAGTTGTACAGTAATTTCTTTCAGTTTTATTTAAAACACGGCTAAAATAAGCAATAATTTTTTCTTGATTTTGCTGAATTTGAGATAAAACTGCACCGATATCAAAATTCGAAGCATTAGTATCAAGAATAAACTCACCCCGTTCTAAAGGAAAAGATAATACTGCAGAGATAGTCAGAGCTTGCTTCAAACTTTCAAAAGCTTCCTGACAAAGATGAGACAAAACAAATTTTGATTGATTTTCTGTAAGAACAAATAAGGGTTTAGCAATAATAGAAAAACCTATAACAAATTTCCGATAATAGGAACAAAATCCAAGAAAACTACGTAGCTGTTTCTTAGTCCGAGGAATCAGCCAATCAGACAGCAAAAAATTTTTTCCGTAGAAACACTTTTTTCAGAAATAACATGACCCAAATATCTAACCGAATTATTTAAAAGAACACATTTCTTAGGGTTCAACTTCAAACCGGAAGTACGAAATTTAAGAAAAACGGTTTTTAAATGTTCAACCATTTTTTCAAAAGTTTACCCAAACTATCACATCGTCTAAATAAACCAAACATATTTCATATAATAATTTTTGCAAAATTCATTTCATAAGTCTCTCAAAAGTAGCCGAAGCGTTATACAAACCCATTGGTAAAACCGTGAATTGCCATAACCCTTTTCCAATTGAGAAAGCCATTTTTTTCTTTATTTTCTGGATGAATTTTCACCTGCCAATAATCACTTTTTAAATCTAGAGTCGAAAACCAAGAATTCCCAGACAATTGATCGATAGTGTCATCAATGCGAGGAATGGGAAAAGAATATTTTACTGTGACCGCATTAAACTTACGAAAATCTACATAACAACGAATAGAATTATCCTTTTTCTAAACTGCCGGTGAAACCCAAGGACTCTGAGACTCCTCAATAACATCCTTGTACCTCATCTCCTCAATAATTCTATCCGCCTCAGCACATAAATGCAATGGAATTCGATGAGGAATCTGCTTAATGGGACGAGAATCAACTAACTTAATCCTATGCTCTAAAAGTTCGCAACTTTCAGCCACAATTTCATCTGAGAAAACATTCTGAAATTCAATTAACATTCCCGCAAAAATTTCTTTCTGTTGAAAATTCAAATTTTCTGAATCCCATTCGAATAACTCCAATAAAAACGCAGGCATTTTGTTTTTTTGAATAATCCGCTTACAAGCAAAATCTTTTTGAAACTCCTCCGTACAAGAAATTCCCAGCGCCGAATAAAAACAAGACTCTAGATTTGTCAAAGATAGAAAATTTTTCCCCAAAAGACAATCATCCTCCATATCAATGACAAACATAGACAAATCCTTCAAAACTTTTCCTGACGTTTACTATAATCTGACAGAGAATGGGAACTACTTCACCCGGAGGATAAACCAAACGATTACTAATTGAAGAAAATATCTCTGAAGTTTCGACAAATTATCTATTAACAATGGAAACATCTGAGCCCGTATCTAACTTAAATCTACAAAATTCTCCATTCAAAAGTCCGTCGTAACAAAAAGTATCTCGTTTCATCCAACTTTCAACAAAATTAATCGAGGATTTGTTTCTTTCTGTCGAAACGGTCCTGTTCCATTCGACAAAATTTAGTTTTTTCTTTGTTTTCCAGAAATATCAACTAAAGCTGGGCATTCTGCCCGAAAATGCGAATGACTACCACAATGCCAGCATTTTCTGTCATTATTTTTTTCCGTAAACAAATCCCTTTTTGAATAAAAAGAATTCCCTTCTTTCTTAAAAATTTTCTCAAAATTTTCTTTATTTTTTCTGAAATCTTTTTTTCTGAAAAACTTGCTTTAAAATTCTTCTTATCTTTCGAATCAAATTTAAAATTTTCCTTAAAACGAGGAAAATTACTTTCCCGAACGTTTTTAATAATAATCTTAACTATAATCTTAATAATAATCTTTCTATTGCTTCCCTTAAAGAAATAACATTTTTTAATGGGAGAGTTTGTTTAACGAAACTATCTGATAATCCGACTAAAAACTGCGCACAAGCAATCTTTTCCCTTAATTCAAAAGAGCACTCTGGATACGCTTTTAAAACTAGACGTTCCAACTCCGAACCGAAAGAAACAAAACCTTCCCCTACCCTCTGCCTTCTGTTAGAAAGTAGGGTATAAAAATTTTGGAACGATTCTAGCTCTCCAAAACGCAATTCCAAACGCGAACAAATTTCTTTAAAATCTAAATTTTCTTTGGTCCCTTTGGAGGTTTGTGTTATTCTAAGTGATCTTTCGCTCGCGGGGAGGGTATAATATAAATATGTGACTCGTACCTTTTTAAATGAACATTTATTTTGTGTCACGTTTTTTACATGTGTGTGTGTGTGTGTGTGCGAGTCTTTTTAAGGTGCGACGGGCCGCGGAATTTAGCGCGTTTCTATGCGGGCTCTTCTCCTTTCTCCAGGCCCTCCTTCGCCTGGGAGTCCGGCGGAAGTATCTTAGTTCTCCTTGTCAGAATGAAGCCCGTCTCTAAGAGTGAATCGGTCGTCCTACGTGTGAGTTGCCGTAGGCCAAGGTTGAGATAGGTGGCCATGTCAACGGCCGCTGCGGGAAGTGTATCCGCTGCAGCCTCCACGTGGTGACGGTTCCTGCCGTGGAGGTGGTCGGTGCTGAAGACTTGGGCGACTCCCAGTAAAGCGGCGAGGGGGTCAGTTCCCGCGTGGGTGACGGAGTGTGTGGTCGTGGAGAACGACCCGTCAGTGCCCCTTGTGCCGTCTGCCCTACTAGAGGTTCAGGTGAGTCTCCCCCGAATAGCTCCTGCAGACGTCTTTGCAGTTTTCCTGCCGGTCCCCGCCTTTGGGCAGGCTTCCGTGCCGGGGAACCGGCTTGCGGGGGCGTCCGCGTTACCCTTGGCGTAGTTGCTTTCGTCGGACGCCTCTTCGGCGTCTGGAGACTCGAGGCCGCTTCTGCAGCGGATGCCGGGGCGCTTCTTCAGCGCCGAGAGACTTGATGCCGCTTCTGCAGCGGATGCCAGGGCGCTTCTTCAGTGCCGAGAGACGTGATGCCGCTTCTGCAGCGGATGCCGGGGCGCTTCTTTAGCGCCAGGCGACTCGATGCCGCTTCTTCAGCGGATGTGGCTCGTAGCCGAGGCCGATGACTTTTTAGCTGCGGTAAAATGCTAGGGAAGCCAGCACGGCGAAGTGTGTTGACTCCCCGCGGAGTCCGGCTTTTTATTGTCTGTTGATCATAATTTTCTCGCGAGAAAACCCCTCCATGTGCGCGCCGCCAAACGGCGCCGTACGGAGGTTCTAGCGGTTGCGGCGGCGGCTCGGCTAACGGCGATCGTACGCCGTTCCTCGTGTGGATCTATATCGATCCACCACAATCCCGTTTAAACCGACAGTCTTTGTTCCATCCGTTGGCACGTGCTATTAAATTGAACTGACAAAGAAACTCACGTAAAGGAACAGTCCCGTCAAAAACGTCTGACTTTAATTCTGATTGGAAATTACGAAAAAAAGGAAGAACCTTGAGAATTCTCTTGTCCAGCTTGGCGCAGCTCTCGGAGTTCCAGCCGCTCTCGCTCCGCCCGCAAAAGCCGTAACTCCTCCTAGGTAGCCTACTACGCCAAAATCTCCGCCGTCGCTAAGATCTCCTCCGCCGGCTCCGCCAACGTGGCTGCGCCCACCCTGGCGCGCTTCCTCCCGTTCAGCCCCGCGAGACTACGTTCTTCCCTACTGGCCATTCTTCCTCTCATTTATTTTTTTTTTTACTTTCACACGCATTTTGTCGGACGCCGAATTTCAATCTGTCGGATGTCGAACCGTCAGATCACGAATAATCGCATCCCGGACAAGCCCCGAAAATGTTGCATTTGCGGACGCGGGGAATATAAACGAACACGTTATAAAGAGGAAAGGAACTATAATGCAAAACGTGGAATCAAGACAAAGGGAATTCTTAAAAGAGCATGCATCTATCTCGTACGCTAGCCGTCTTTCGACTCCTCGTCAGCTGTTGTTCTCAACAACAACTCCGTAGTGACTGTGGCTACGGGAACTGAGGCTCAAGCTCGCGCACACTTCAGACGCCGCGAGACCGCGCTCGCAACAATATATATATATATATATATATATATATATATATATATATATATATA